AATATCACTTTTGGGACAGTGCCTTGCACCTAGTTTTTTAACTGTAGCCGTGGGCCTTCCTAAGCTAGTTGCTCGGATGGACCCACACATTTGATTTGTGTTGCTGTAGGAGTAGGTGGTATTTTTCTTCAAGATCTGAGTTCCCTCGCTGCATACTCAAGAGATAAAGTTTATTATCTAACTTTTTATTATTTATGAGTTACTAAATCTTTCATTTATGCAGGTTTAGTAATTTGAATATATTAGCCGTTTTTTCACACATTATTTTTGAGATAACGTCAGATCATGCAGAAAAGGATACGCGTGTTCCCTTCGAAGCTTCAGATTTGATTTACAGTTCCAGTGCCTCTTCATGAATTCTACAAACTGTATTCACAACGCATTCGCCATTTCCAACGCTTTATGTGGGGGATATGTTTCAGGCAACCCTAATTCTCTCTCATTGCACTTTTACGAAACATCTGGTTTATCCTACTTATTATAATAAAATTACAGCACTGGTTTTGACTTCTCTTTGAAAATAAATAATAAAAAACTATAAAATATATCTTCTGATTGAAGTGAATAAGTTTAAGTAGGATACATTAATGGTGAATAATCCTGCCAATATCTAAAGGTTAATATCGGTATATATATTTTTTTTTCGAAATAGGTAGGTACGTTATTTGTGTTGCTCTAGAGCTGCACAATGGGCTGTTGGCAACGGTATGAAAAAATTCCTGAGGATGAACCGGAGGCATGGCATNTTCGAAATAGGTAGGTACGCCATTCTCTAGTACGTATATGCTCTAGAGCTGCACTATGGGCTATTGGCAACGGTATGAAAAAATTCCTGAGGATGAACCGGAGGCATGGCATCCCAATTTTGATCCTCTGCAGAAGTGATTCTTTAATCAATTTTGATTGATTTAATTAAAAATTTTAACCTCTACAAATCATGCACTTTCTTTCTACTAAAACTATGTGTATAATGTTTATAAACTTTAAAAGTAGAAAATCTAATGTAATATTAAACTATTTAAAACGATATTTGTACAACTACTTTACTTTTACTAGCTGTTTTCCTACCATAATCCTTTTTTTTTAATTTGCTACCTAAAACTCTAACATTTGACTAGTTATTACATTTAAAAGTATATCAAAGTTGTCCCATTTTTCCAGAATTATCAGTGAATTTTTGAATGATAAATAACAGTAATATTCCATTTGTCGACAGAAGCTCCACTTCCATACCCGTCCCCATCTCCCTTTTTTTTCATTTATTTTGAAATTAAATCATAATTGAATGTTTTACGCTAAATTTTCCGCAATTTCTTTTCTTTTATAGTATGAAATTTAAACCTAAGAATGCATTTAGCTTTTCACTCTGTAGAATTTTGTTAAGCAAAAAGAAAAAGAAAAAACGGATTTAAAAAAAAAAAGGTAAGATTAGAACGAAATGAGTAAAAAAGAGTCGCTTAACTTCTAAATTTAATTGGTTATTGTTTCGATCAGTACTAAGTGGATCAATGGCCGCAACTTTTCTAACTTCAAGTTTTCTACCATCTTCTAGAAATGTTTTAATTTCCACCGTTCTATGTTTCGAACCAACACGAAAAAGCACAAAACGGTGCTGAGCACTAAACTTTGCTTATTCATGTTAACTTTCTCCTAATTCTTTGCTGTTTGCATCAGGCGAGAAAGTAGCAAGTATAATTTTACTTCAGTTTACGTTTTTACGGTTCTTAAATATAAAGTCTGCTTATTCCATAACAATTTTCTCATTATTCTTTTTAAGGATATTCTCAAATCGGAAAAAATGATAAAAATGCTAATTTCTCTTCAAATTCATATTCTAATGGCGCAATTTTCAAATTTGTTGATTGTTAATTTCTTATCTCGTTTGAAACGGTTCTACAAACAATGACAATTAAGCTTTAGTCAATTATTCAAAGAATTTTGAAACGTGCTATAATCTGACAATTTTTAAGCTATTTTATTTATAGTTCTAAAGCATTTTGTTTTATCCTATTCACAACTATTCAGTTTTTCTTTCCTTTCGTGAACTCGCGTTATTTTTTATTTTGAATCAGGTTTTTTAATCTATCTTTGATTGTTCTTGTGCGCAATTTTATTTTTTAATGTTGAACTTGTTCAGAAATTTAAAAAGGGGAAAAAACGTATGTTTTAGAAAGAAAATCTGATAAAATATTTTTAAATATTTTGCTTTTATAATTTAAATTAGTTTTCACCTAAAATTAACATTCGGGAATTATGTTGATTTTCGTGGAGTTTGGAATGAAGTTTAACACATTCCGTTGTAATGAAAATATATTTAGGAAATATTTCCGATTTTTATAATCATACAGTGCTTACGTAATTAATTCTTCTTAGGGTTTACATAGCTGTGAAATCGGAAGTACTAGCTTCCCTTCATATTCAAGGCTATAACCAAACAACAATTCAAGGAAACTAAAATTTCTTTAATTTTTCACAATTAATAAAACTTATGCAAATCATACAAGTTGTTTGTATGTAGTGGTGGACTAAATCATTTTAAATTAAATTCATTAAATCAATAGTAAAATGTATAAACATGAAATTTACTACCACTTTAAATATTATGATCCCGTAGATCGGACCAATGAGTTGTATTTATTTATCAAACAAAGACAAGTTCGCTTCTAGCTCAGTATATTATAATTAATAATCACCTTTATATTCATCTAAAACTGTAAATCTAAAACTATATTAAAAATAAAACAAGGAAAAAAAGATTTTAAAGAGAAGAAGAAAAATTATTAATCAATAAAATGTTCTTAAAAACATAAGAATCATTTAAAAAAAACGGAAAAACTACGCAAAAGATCTCATCTCATCTTCAGCTTACACGATTATATCCGCAAAGAGAGATGTATAAATATATATCTAATAGTGTATAAATGTGGCGAAAGCATACTATTAAACAATACCATTCTATTTATAAAAAAAAAGATCAATACAATAGAATGATCACTACAATAGTATACTATTTTGTAGATATGTTGTGTTTAGTCTGTATTAATACAATTTAGAAAGCACTCTTTATTGCAAATATAATTGTGAGAGCTGATAACGAGATTATATATTTCCTTCATTCTGTTTTCAAACTTTTTTTTTAAAAATTTTTATGAACATTCTATTTATTAATAATGTTTCTTCTTCTAATGTTGTCTTATTTTCTTAATTTTAAACGCTAATCTGTATTTTTTCATTACACACACACACACACACACACACACATATATATATATATATATATA